CCTTTTTTTACGAAGATACGAGAACTAATAAGTAAGTAACGAAGGGGGGGGGGGAAAGAGCGATTCTGTTCAAATCAAGCATCCCCCCCCAGCTTTTCTCTGAAAGGCTGGGTGGGTTCGCATTTGGCCAGCTCAGGGAAAGACCCAAAACAACAGGCCGACCTGAGTGATGAGAATCCAGATAATTTGGTTACAGGGTTAGGGTTTGTTCAATGTGTACTTGGCACCTCCTCCAGGAGAACAGGGTGGCATTCGCAGCGATGCCTGCTCCAACGTTTCCCCACAAGAACAACGCTGTGGGGTAGGTTGGGTTGAGAAAGGACTGGCCCAAAGCTACTGAGTGACCCTGTAGAGCAGTGTTTCTCGACCTTGGACACTTTAAGAAGGGTGGACTTCAACTCCCAGAATCCCCCAGATTCTTGGACGTCCCCAAAGCAGAGGAGGAGCTGTGGGTGAGACGGGAGCCTCGGCCCTTCTCCCAGCCTCCGTCAGGCGGAACCTGGTAGCACCTTTTCCGACTCATCCATTTTATTTTTTTAAATATAATTTCACTAGAACTTTTAAGAAAGGAGATAAAAAAGAATAGAAACTAATACAGAGTAAGAAAAAGAGAAAAAGAAAATCAAAGAAAGCGCTAACGGTGCAAAAGCAAAGAAAGAAAAAAGATACCAAGAAGTAGCTTCCGATTTTCTTTACAGCAGTTATAAGTACAATTATAAATTTACCTCTTGCTCTGTGGTGACAGCATAACTCCATTTTTTCTATGATCATTAAAAGGCACCTCTATGAAATTCTATGAAATTTATTACTGATTAAACACATTATTAGGTATTATGTATTCCGTGTATATTTTATAAATCTAAATTAAATAAATACTAAATAAACGAAACGATCAATCAATAAACCAAATAAATATATATTATTTATTAAATATTTGTTCGTTGTTACATTGTTAGGTGTTATTTATTAAGCCGGTACTTAATAAAATTAATAAATACTAAATCAACTGAACTATCAATAAATAAACCAAATAAATACATGCAAGTATTAGATACTTGTGGTTTATTCAATGTATTAATTTTATGAAGAGGCAGAAGCTTTTTATTAAGAGGCAGACGCTTTCACGAGCTGTAGCCAGCTCTCGGCAGCTGACGAAAGCTTCCGCCTTTTAGAAAAAATTGGTGAGTGGCAACGGTGCCACCAGACTCCTGACTTTTTTGCCCCAGCCTGGGCCAGACGGAGTTTCCGAGGCAGGAGCTCTTCCCCAAGAAGACAAGCAGATGCTGTTTCTGAAGCAGAGCAAAGCTGGCAAAGGCAGGGCTGGGCTGGCCCAACGTCCGTCCCGAGGACCATCCGCTTTGCCAATGCCCCCCAGCCGAGGCTGCCAGCGCTGACGGGCCGAGGGGTGCCGCGGCTCCTTCAGGCCTTGGGCTTTATCCCACCGCAGCCATTCAACTCTCGGTGGTGCGAAACCCCGAAAGGGTTGCTGAAAAGTCCTTGGAGACGTGGCTGCGCTCCCAGGCCTGCGGAGTCCCGGTTGTGTTTTTTTCCCAAGTTGTTGTTGTCGTCTTGTCTGGGCAGTTATGGCTTGTTCGATTTTTAATTGTGGAAGGAGGAGGAGGAGGAGGGGAAGGGGAAGAAGAGGAAGAAGTAAAATAGCAGGAATGAAAACAGTTCAATTAATTTGCACTGAAATAGAGCAACTTGTACATATACAACATTCAAGTGGTGTTTACAAACTGCAGTAGTTAAAAATAAACTCTCTGGGCTTTGAGGGGTGTTTCATGGACAGAAGTCCCAAAAGTTTGACTTTACTTTGATTGCGCCTGGTTTTAATCACTCCTCCTCCTCCTACTTTAAAGGCCTGTAGGGCCTCAAGTCATGCATTAACCCATGTTTTGGTTAACCTTGTTTATTGAACAAACCAGCATTGGCTTTTCCCCAGCACATGAGGCCATCAGCTGATGGCTGGGTTCACACCACACGCCACGCCCATCATGGCGTAGTGGGGTAGGTAAGCAAAGTCCAAATGAACAGGGGGAAAAAATCAGAGCGTATTTTCTGGTAAATCTCAGCCTTGTGTTATTAAAGTGTAGGTTTTCCAGCCGGAAAGATGTTGACCTGATCACCATGCTGGGGGTGAATTTTATAACATGGGACTGGATTGTCCTAAACCATGGTTTATTTAACTGTAACCAGCAGAGAGAAAGATGCAGCTTCTGACACGTTGGTGGGGAAGGAGACAAGCGGTGGAGGGATGGGGGGGAGATGCGTGGGAGGCAAGACATTTCGGGGGGGCGGCCAGGAGACAAGCTGGGGCTGAGATGCCGGGGAGGGGGGGCGCTCAGCCTGTCATCAGCACCAGCTCCGCCGAAAGCTGGATTTTACTTTTTAAACATATGTTTGTCCTCCGTTCGTCCTCTTGTTTGGGGGGGCGTCCTAAGGTTTCCCTGCACTCGCTTTGGAGGCCTTCCCCTCCCTGCCTCCCTCCCTTTCTCTCGCAGACTTGGATAATGATGCTTCTAATTAAATATCTCGCAAGGCAGGTAGCAATTAGTCTTCGCTTTCTGGCGCCTCTCTCTCTTCCAAGGACGGGGACACGATTTGCCAATGTGAACTGGATCCTGCCAAAACAGGGCGGGGAAGGGCCTTAGCTGGGGTGGAAGTGGCTCTGGAAAGGGGTGGAGCTCTCCGCAGCTATGGGGTGGGGCAGCTTAGTGGAGCCTCCTGACTCAGGAGCAGTATACCTCTCCCTGCCGTTCCTTGGGGCAGGCTTAGCCTCCTGCGTTCCCAAGCCGGCCATCGGTTTTCCTCCTCTGTCACTGGCTTTGGCATCTTACGGAGATAGACTGCCTCTGCACACGGGAGCTTCCTTTCATGGTCACGGCCAAGACTAAGTGACCGCTTCCTCTGGGTTTTCTCTGTGCATTTGCTGAATTCTTCCTTCCCTAACAATCCTGCGCATCCTCGGTTTGCAATTCACCACGTTCGCTGGGCATTTGGGGGATCCTGGCCCTGGTATAGCTGGATAGTCCGGGCTCAGAGAAAGTCTGGCTTATTTCTTTAAAAAAATAAATAAATCCAGCAGGGATCTCTGCATCCTATGGCAGTGAGTTCCAAAAGACGGCGTGCTTTGGCCTGAAAAAGTCCCCATTGGCCTTTCACCTTCTCTGCTGCTGCTGCTTTCGATTCTCCCCGAAATTTTGGGGTGGGGCGAAGAAGAGAGGCTCGTTCAAACCCCTCCTGTGGTGGTGCATAGGCTCATTGCAGGAGTTGGCTTCCCAAACCCAACATTATCTCAAGAGAAAGCTGGGTCTCCCTTTGCCGGGCGACCGTCTGCTTGGCCTGACTGAGACGCAGCCGGTTCAGAAGCCCCCTCCTTCGGCATCCGGACTCTAATCCGGCTCGGGCGTTTGATTCCAGAGCCAAATTTCAGCGGTAATTAGAGACTAGGTTGGTGAAGCCAACTTTGCCCGGTCTGCATGAAAGGACAAGGAATCTGAGGGTACAGGGAGGAAAAGGAACAGCAAATGGAAGAATTCCCCCTCCCTCTTTTGCAGTGCTCAGGGCTGAGTTCACACATCCCGCTGAACCCTAAACCAAGTGAAGAAAACGCATTTTCCAGCAGTATTTTTCAAACTTGGCAACTTTAAGATGGGTGGACTTCAACTCCCAGAATTCCCCAGCCAGCCATGGGGAGTTGAAGTCCACCCATCTTAAAGTTGCCAAGTTTGAAAAACACTGATTTATAGCATGTTTCAGCCCCAACAGACCATTGTGCCCTTGCTTGCCAGCTGTTTCTTGGTCCTCAGCAAATGATGCAGAATCGTATTTGGTTTCTAAATATTCTACCACTGGATTTTCCTGACTGCTGCTCATTCTAACCTGGAGAGTCCAGAAGTCTTATTCTTATTCTTATTCTTGTTTGGTCACACAGTCAGACAGATGTTTAGACTGGATTTGGCATTTTTATCCTCCTCTTCCTCCTCCTCCTCCTCCTCCTCCTCCTCTTATTATTATTATTATTATTATTATTATTAATAATAATAATAATAATAAT